CCACTTCCGGCTTTTCTTTTCTGCTTATGTGGTGCTGAGGAATCGAACCCAGGGCCTCATGCATGCCAGGCTCTCTACCACTGAGCCACCTTCCCAGCCCAGAACTTGGGTCTCTTTACTTCCATCTACTGGGGGCTCTTTCGGGAGTCCTCCGACCCCAGGCGGTGGCCTCCTCCTGAGCCTGGGCTGTGGGGCCAGACTCTGTAGTTAGCAGACACTGAAGCAGGTGGAGCCACTCCAGCCACTGTGTCATTGGCTGCCTTGTTGGTTGGTGTCGTTTCCTTAACCCATGTGTGGCCACGTGCTGCCTGGCTTACTTCACTGAGGTGGGGGGGCGGGGAGCAAAAGCCATTTTCCATTCTTCACCATGGCAAGACTGTGTGTGGAAAGGCAGAGGTGATCTCAATATGCTCTCTCTGTCTCTCTGCATGTCCTCAGTGCTCTCAGGCCACACAGTGGACATGTTTTATTTATGGTCCATGCTACTGCTAGAATGCTCTTAACAATGTTTCATTTTTTTGCTTTTAGCCCAGGCAAAGCACATTTTGTCATCTGTTCCAGCAGCGCAGGACAGTGTAGCACTCAAGTCTGAAGGAATTAGCTATCTGGCCCTTGAAAATAAGTCCCTGCAAAGCCTCCTTGCGGAGCAGCAGCGGCAGTGCACCACCATGATGAGTGAGGTGACGGCGGAGCTCAGCAAGGCCCGGAAAGAGATGGTGAGCTGCACTCTGGCGCCATGGCCATCTCTTCACAGGGCGGGGGCCGGCGGGGCCTCGGATGCCACACTGTCCCAGAGCCACCTTGACAGCCATGCCTTTCGTCCAGCTCCTCTAGGACCTTAAAGCCCCCTCTCCTTGCTGTGTTGTATGCCCATTCTCCATGGACATGGTGAGCTGGACAGCAGTACCTCCAGCCCTCTGCCTACTGCCTCTCGTAGGAGAGATGAGAGAGGAAGAGGTGGCCCAGCTCTGGGCAGAGTCTTGTGTTCCCACTGGCCCTTGGTGGAGACTCCCCAGTCCTGATGAGTGAGATTCCAGTTATCTGGGGTGCGTAGGGTTCCTACTCTTGTCTTGTACCCAGTTTGAATCTCTTGTACCACCAGATGGCACACAAGAGCAGAGTCCATACTTGGACTTGGCAACCAAGTTCTCCCTTATGAGGTTGTGTTGTGTGAATGATATTGGGATGTTCTTCCTTCTGAGCCCACGCGAATGGTTACATGACAGATGGCCAGACACACCTGTGGTTGGTTCTCTGCCAGGCCTCACCTTACCGCACAGTGTGCACTGCGTTAGCACACCATCCCCAGCTTTACAGTGGACCTGGCAGAGCCGGGCTGTTCAGGGGTGGTGACCTCATCCGAGGACCTGGTGGGTGGGGATGGATCCTCTTCCAGCAGGCCCTCTGCACAGGAAACGGAGGCCGAAGTGTTGGTCCCTTCTGCCTCTGTGCATTGGCTAACCCTTCAGGGTGAGCATAGGAGCGCATGTGCACCAGGAGGGGCTGTTGGAACACTGTGACCTCAGGACCAGTGCATGAAAGCACCACAGAATGAAAGTTCTTAGGTTTTCTGACAAGCTCTTTGTTTTGTGAGATTTCATACACATCTGATTTTTAGAGAAAATGGAAGTGGAGTAATATCTAACATACTGTGAAATCTCCTGCATGCACACAGGACTCCATGTAGAAAGAGCAAGAGCACACGTAAGCCTGGACCGCAGCACTGGAGAACACAGTGTGGAACAGTGTTAGTCTCGGGGACACAACCTGGCCCATTGACCAGAAGACAGCAGGTGACACCTGATGTCTCAGTGCAGACGTGGAGGCCACTTGGGGCCTCAGCCAGAGCTTAGAGACCAACCTGTACTGCTGTCCATGACAGTGATGCGGAGCCAGAGCTTAGAGACCAACCTGTACTGCTGTCCCTGACAGTGATGCGCAGCCAGAGCTCAGAGACCAACCTGT